TACCTCTAACTACTTACTTTAACTATTATAACTAGTAGTACGTTCGTAGTAGTACGACTATATATATATATATATATATATATATATATATATATAATTTATTTATTTATTTTCCCTTTTTATTTTTAATGTTAGCATTGTTGTTTTTATTGTTGTTAACTTGTTTCTTAACATTTTTTACTTCTTTCATTCCCTAATTTTCTAGCCGTTTCTTTCTTTCTTGAGTGTTTTATTTTCTAGAAAAAAATAAAATGAAAATGAAAATAGGTTGGGACTCTTTTTTGTTCCATTTGTTTTTGTTATTGTTTCCATTCACCCTCTTTTTCTTTAGTTTGCTCATTTATTTTCCTAAGGTTAATTTTGAGTAAAATAGGTTTACTTGTTTTAGGTGAATTCCCTCCTTTTCACCTAGTTATTTTTTCTTTTGTTATTTATTGCTTTCATTTTTGTGAAAGTCATAGATTGCATTCTCATTTTAACCCAGTTCAGACATTCAAATCCCGGGTTAATTATTTTTACAAATTCAAAAAATGGCATATAAGAGATTTTGAGCAGCTCTAAATGTAAGATGATTCAAAAGTGGTACTTCTTAATTGCCATGCATACTTCACAATCAAATTGGTCACGTCCGAAGGCTATACCCTAAAATTGCACAAAATTCAGTATTTGATCCACCAATAATTCAGGCGGCCCAAATTTTGAATCTTTGAACCACTTTTTTCAGATTCACTTCGAAATATTCTTTAGTTTGGTGAGAAAAAAATGAAGCAATTTGATGCTTCGGTTTATTCAAGGGAAGACTTCAGATTTTTTTAAAAAACTTAATATATATATATATATAAAGTCTTCCCAAAGGCGAAAGGCGAAAATAAACAGTGATTTCGTCTGCCCTCATCACCGTCCAAAGTTCAACGTACAGTCACGATTGTATGATAATGTTTCATTTTTTATTGTTTTTCTACAAATTGGAATGATCTGAAATTTAGAATGTATGTACATATTAGTGACGTGTATCTAGTAAAAATATAAAATAAATAATTCCTAAAAAATTTGATCAAAATACCCTCAAAACTTTTTAGGGGTATTTTGGTCAATTATTTTCATGTAAAATATTTTTTTAATATTTTTCGCAAATTCGCCTATTTTTATGAACACACGCTCTAAATTTCAAGCCATTCTGATTTGTAAATAAAAAATAAAAAATAAAATACTTCCGGTAATCGTGATCGTGGGCTGAACTTTAGACGGTGATACGGGTAGGCGAAATCACTGTTCATTTTTTCCTATAAGCGTTTTGTAATATCTTCCATATATATAATAAAACAAAAACTTCAAAAATAAATATATAAATAAAACAATACTTTTATATATATATTTCTTTGCTTTGGCCAAATCAACCTGAAGTTGGATGTGAAAGGACTTTATGATAAAGCACGGTGTATATATTTTAAAAAAAATCTTTACCTCTACACTGGAAAGATCACTTACAATGTCTAATTATAATCAAACCACTATTGAAATAAATATAATAAAAATAAAATTGATTCTCAATTGTTGCTTCTTCAAATACAATTATTTATTCAAGAAAGAAAAAGTAGACGTTAATGTTTTATGGGAAGATAAATAAATATTTTAAAAGGTAAAATTGCTGGATATTACCTCAACTGGGCTTAGTACACCCCACGCTGAGTTTCCTCCTTCCGATGGTGCTCGGGATCTATAATTGGTATGTTGATTTCCCTACTATGGCAAA